GGAGAGAGAAAAAAAAGAGGTTAGTTTGGTGTTTGACTTTGAAATATGGGTTAAATCTGAAACTCTACCTTATTTCATTCCGCAAGACTATTTCTGCCATTCTGCAGTTATGCATTCTAAACATGTGCATTGCCATGGAAATTGTTTTAATTTTATCAAAATTTATAATATAATTTATTTTTATTTTTTTTATCAAAATTTTTTTTATCATATGTTTTAATAGAATTATAGTATAATAAAAGTATGAGTTATTTAAGTATACATTGATGTAATCTTAGTTGTAAACTTTGTTATTATGTGAATTTAAACTACCACACAATCAATCTATATATTTATGAGTGTTAAAATAGATTAATCCATCGTTTTAATATAGTTCAAATCAGTCTATTATCTTGCATGTTTTGATAAACCAACCTGCAAAGAATAGCAATTATAAAAACATAAGCCGAATTCGCCTTGTTATATTACCGTATAATATAAATATATACTTATTATGATTATCTGAATTTTTAAGTTGATGGATTATGATTAAAAAAATTTATAATAACATTTTTTTTATCATCTGTGCTCGTATAAAAATATTTAAATTAGAATATTAAAATCAAATTAGATTTTAAGCCGTGCGTCTACACATGAATGTTTTTTATATCAAATTTTGTAAAATAATTAATGTTTTTTGTGTTTTAGATATAATTTGTGTTTTAGGTATAATTTATTTTTATAGATATAATTTTTCTAATAAGTGACAAATCATAATTTTTATATTTAGATATAATTTTCTTTTGTAGATTTAAATTTTACTAGTATTAAATATAACTATAATTTTAAAAACATAATTATAGCCTACCCATCTATATTAGTTCGAAAAGAACTGCGATTTTAAATCTAACCCGCCTGTTTATATTACCATAGATAAAAAATTTACTAATTTTAAATATTTAAAATTTTAGAGTTATACATATATGAATATATATATATATATATATATATGTTAAAATGGGTTAACTCATCCTTTTAACATGCCTCAAATTAGCTCACTATCTTATGTTTTGATAAACCAACTTGCAAATGATAGCAACTATAAAATTATTATTCTAACTCATCCGTTTCTATATATATGTGTGTGTGCTAAAAAGTTAACGCGTCCTGTTAACATGATTCGAAATAGCCCATTATCTTGTATGTTTTGATAAATCAAACCACAAAAGATAGCGATTATAAAAGCATAATTCTAACACGTCCATTCATATTACCGTATAGTATAAACATTTAATAATTTTGAATGATTGACACGAACAGCCTTAGAACACACTGATAACACCATATTTTTACCATTTTATGGATCATTTAAATATATTATGAAGGTGTTTTAACTCTGTTTTCATTGTTGTTTAAGTGATTTCAATGTTTTAGCGTTTTAAAAGACTTTTAAGGAAACTTGGACTAAATATGCGCAATTTGGAGCAAACAAGCAATTTTGGATAATTCAAGCCATCACAAGTATGGCAAACGATGAAGACCTTCTCACCGTCTAATCATCCCCAAAAATTTGACACAATATATAGGAGACAACCAGCTTTCAAATGCAATTGGTTTTGAGACAATCCAATTATTAGAGCTTCATATATATTTGATGCACTAAAAACAGATGATGTGGTCTCAAAGTAGAGCAAAAGTCGCGACCGCGGCCAAACCATCATTCGCCGCGGCCAGAGAAGCCACGGTTGCAACCACAGCCGAAGATATTTTATGTCCCGAGAGACCTGTTTCAAGCCCAAGTTAAGCCCATCATTTATTCTTCAAACCCTAGATGTTCCCGATGAATTATAAAGTTGTAAATACTCATTTTAGGTCATTCTAATGACCAAGCCGTAGATAGAGATCAGGAATGAGTCAGCGAAAGGATTCATCATCGATCTCTACCTTCATATGCGTTCTTTGTTCTTTACCTTTCTCTTATTTATTTTTCAAAAAATTACAAAACTTTTATGATGTTCTTATACACTAAGATTGAGTAATTTCTTTGTTGGGTTTTATGGGATTTTTCAAAGGGAATTCATGGATTGCTTATTAGTTTGTTAGATTAGGGTTTATCTTTAGAGTTCCTCGTTCAAATTTATGTTTCGTGTATGTAGCTAGTACGGTTAGGTTGGTTTACTCACCGAAAGTGGTGTCGAATCGACTAACCTTATTTAGATGAGCAAATTATCTCAGACGGCGTGAGTCGATCTAAAGTGTTTTGTGAAGTTATCAAATCAAGTTTAGTAAATCTGAGTGGATGGATTTGTGATTAATACTATGTGAGTAGGTTAGTCTTGGTTCAATTTCAAGAACATATCATATCGAAAACTCTATGTTTAATTATCTTTTTAGCTAATCCATGGTACCTAGAAAATTCCCTAATGACCAACACCTTCTCGTATTGATTAGATCTTATTATTTACTTGTTTTTTTAAAAGTTATTTAGTAGTTATATTCGCCACTATTCACAACCTCCACACAAACACCTATGTAATTTTCATCTTAGCTCAACTCTCATCTCAAGTAAATTGTGCAGTTACTTGGTCTTTAGTGGATCGACCCCTAGTACTACAACATACATCTGTGCGCTTGCAGAAAACTAGGATTAAAACATGAGCACATAAAGTTTTTGGCGCCGTTGCTAGGGATTTTTAACGTTGTCTTTGAGTTTCAGGTCAGAATCAAGTCTAAGGTATGTTTTCTTGTTCATTTTATTTCTATTACTTCATAAAAAAATTAAACAAAACAAAAAAATAAAAAAATGAAACAAAACAAAAGTATATATATAAATATATAGATAACGCTGAGATGGGAGACACAATAGATATTTAATAGGTTGAGATAGGCTTAGAGATAACAACAACATCTAGCAACAAGAATTTGATGAGCATGTTTAGTTCCAAGACGCTCCTCGCTTAACTCTAAGAGATTATAACACTCTGTATGCTTTCTATGAGAACCATTCTCCCATTAGTCTACAACCCATCAACATAGACTATGAAATTAGGCGAAGCTCATAAAATTTGTTAAGCAGAACAATTTCCATGGCGATACATCAGAGAATCCTATGGACCATCTTGGAGATTTTGAAGAAATCTGTAGCACCAAACATTCAATTGAAGTTCCTGTGAATTACATAAAATGCAAGTTGTTTCCATTTTCTCTTTGTGATAAGGCATGTGCATGGTTTAAGTCTTTGCCCCCTGGTTCACTGATGTGTCTGCTGTGAGGGTGTCAAGTTTAACCCTAAATGAAATCAATAGCCGCAAGTGCACAGCTGATCGATTGTAGTACTTAGGGATCGAATCCACAGGGAAGGAGGAACTTTCCTGCAAAAGCTTTCGAAAGAAATATAAAGTGAGGAAGTCTAGAACCAGGCCATTTTTCAAAGGGTTTTGCTGGTGTTTTTAAAACGTAAAAATTAATCTTAACGAGAAAATACAGAAATTAAAATGACCTAATAACTAAACTTAATGAAATCGACTAAAAACGAGAAAATGGCTAGACCTAATTTGCTCAAATAAAAATCGATTAAGAGAATGAAAATGATGAACTAAAGCTTGAAATAAAATATGTGAAAATCAATGGAAAAGAGGCGCTGGATTTCAGGAAAGTTCTCTCTGAGGTATGAACGATTCAGAACGTTTCTAAATAGTAAATAGAAAGATCCTAGCTAAAACTTTTAGAACTCGAGTCACGGATGTATGAATACGCCACTGTCGTGATCATAGACAACTATCTCTCTCAACCCTAACCAGTAGGCTTCCACTCTGGCCCTGGAAGAGAAGAAATGCAATATGCTTAAGACTTGTCAGCATTAACAAATCGCCCATAGGTAGGTTTCCACTCCTATGTTTGTTTTGCTCTCCCAAACTAGATCTGGCCCCGGATGAATACTTTCGTAACACCAAGGACCTGGATCAGATTGTAGTTCATGACGCTACTCCCATGCATTAAAAGTAAATCCAGAAGAAAAAGTTCTAGGATTCGGCTTCATTAGCTAATGAAATCCTCATTGAACACAAGTATCCCCATCGAAAATCCCTTTGACCCAACAACAAGACTACTCAGACATGATGAACGAAAGCAAAAACATAGTATTAAAAAGTAGAGTAGAAATCAAAATTGAAGAAGAAACAAAAAGGGTTCAAGAGATAGATCTCTATCTCCCTAAAATCTAAAGTATTGAAAAACCTAAAAAGTATTCTAAAACAATAAAAGCATAAGAGATGATGACGATACAAATTAGGGTTCCTAAAACATATATTTCTAGTGCTCAAGATATTTCTGGGCGTCACTTAGGGTTTCTACAAATGAGGGAATCATTTTGGACTTCAGAAATGGGCCTTCTAAATCGGAGATGGCTGGCCGCGGTCGGAAAGGACGTGGCTGCGGTGAATGGATGCTTGGCCGCAGTCAAATGGCCTCTGTCCGTGGTGAAAAGGCTGTTGGTCGCGGGTGGAAATAATTTCCGGCTGGTTTACGGGACATCTTGCTCTTCGCGTAACTTTTGATTGAACCGTTGGATTGCCAAGTTGTAAAGTGTGCTGGAAAGCTGATAGTTCCATCTTTAAGGTCTCCAAATTTGAGCTGGATCAGACGGTGAGAAGGTCTTCATTTGAGGGTGAACTTCTGACGGTTTGACTCTGAGGTAAAAATCTGGTCTTCTATCCATTTTGTTAAGCTTTTTCCTAGGTTTCCTGAAAAGAGTTTTGGAAATACAAATACTAGAAAAACATATTAAAAGTACTTGAAAGCAATAAAAAACATAGAAAAAGTATTTCAAAACGATCCACAAAAGTGGTCAAAATACGGTGTTATCATTCACTCGGATCATGAGACGAATGCAAGGCTGCGTTTCTTAATCACTTCTACACCACTGGCACATGCATGGTTTAAGTCTTTGTCCCCTGGTTCACTCAGATCATGGGAAGAATGTAAGGCTGCGTTTCTTAATCCTTCTACACCACCTCTAGATCAAACTTCATTAGAAACAAGATTTATAGATTCCAACAAAAAGAAGGAGAACTTTTTCATGAAGCTTGGGATCGTTATAAAAGGTACATAAGAGAATGTCTCCACCACGGTTTTACAGAGACATGCACCTTGAACACCTTCTATGAAGGTCTTGAATGGACATCCTAGTCATCTCTAAATGTGGCAAGCGCTGGCAATTTCATGACAAGGACTGTGGAAGAAGCTTACGTCTTGAATAATAATCTTGTTGTGAGTAGAAGAAACAATTGTCCTGATCAAGAAAAAACATCACGTTCCAAATGTCATGATCTTAGGGATTTCGAAGAACTTAAAACCTTGGTGAAATTCTATCTAAAAAACAGAGTGTTCTGTTAATGTCTATGAAGCAGTTAATGCATCTGTGATTAATCATCAACTTACAGCACAAGAGCTCACCCAAATGAATCTCCAATCTGCTCCAAAAACATCCACAACCTCTCAAGACAACAATCTCGAGCTTATGATGCAACAACTTTTTATGAAGCTGTAAAAATTAGCAGACAACGTGCATATGAAAGTGGACAGCTTATACACTGACGTTAATGGTAAGTTTGAAGCTCTTTCTACTCATGTTGATGGCATGGACATGCAGCTATCATAAACCATAGATGTTTCACAAGCCGCCAAAGTTATCGAAAAACGAATCACAAAGGTGCACAAAAATCGCCCAAGAACATTGCAACCTTGAGTTTAAGTTAGACAACATGAGTGATCTTGGGTACAAGTTAGACATCATGTATGATCACTTCAACAAGAACAATTAGGAGTTAATTGAGAAGTTCACTAACCTCTCAACTCATGTCAAGATGCTCGAGAAACAAATCGGAAAAATTGGAGAAAGTGTGAGGAGACAAGATGGTCGTCTTCCGGGGAAAAACGTAGACAATCCAATGGGACGCTGCAATGTCATTGACACTGATGATGAGAGAGATGTCATACCTAATTCTAGCATTCAGTACACTGAAGAGTATGATGCAATAGGCAAAGTTCCACACCAGAGGAAGATTCTTAAGATAAATGATTCAGTGAAGTTTGTCTTCCCCTGCGTAATTGAAGTGTGGAATTTATAGACTCTCTATGTGACACATGAGAAAATGTGAATGTTATGTCTAAAACAGTTTCAGACGAGCTAGGGATTCATGACATCAAACCTCTTCAAATTTCTGTTAAGTTCAGAGACAATTCAAGCACGATTTCATATGGTTTTGTACAAGATATGTGCAAGTAGAAGGGTATCTTGTTCCTGTTGATTTTCACGTTCTTTAAAGGAAAAAAAATTTTCCAAGGACATTAATACTTAGAATTCGTTCTTGGCAACTGTGGGGGCAGTTTTTGATTATCCCAACCGAAGAGTTTGCCTTTCTAAAGTCAAAAAAGAATCTTCTATCTTGCAGTCTGTAGTGGTGAAAGCTCTTACTGTATAACCATGTACAAGGAAGAGAAGTTGATTTTAGACCCTGGAGATAACAAAGAAAGGTCACAACACGTTTCTATAGAAGCCCCTTTAGTCGAACCTAAAGGAGTTGTCGAATCGAAAAAATCTAAGCACAAAACAAGAAAATCTAAGCGCAAATCAAAGAAATCTAAGCGAAAACTATCTCAGGTGATACAAGCTCGACATTGACTTCTCAAAACATTATTGAAGACGTGGGGAGAGATGGTAACGCTAAATTACTCACCTTTGAGACACGTCCAATACCACCTCTTAAACCAAAACCTTCTGAGCTTCCTTGGTTTAGGCATATAGAAAAGTACCTAGCAGCAGATGTCTGTAAGAACTAGATTTCACCATCTCATAGATAGTCGAAATCAGTTTGGTTTAGGAGATTTTTTTGATTTTATAGCTGAACTCAAGATGAGCTGCCTACGTACTCTAAAACAGGGATCAAGTCATTCATAGTTCATATTTACAAAGGAAATTAGGTCAACAGAAAATGAGCTAAGAAATAAGAAGAAGATGTATTCTAGGTCTTGTGTGAAGTTGTGAATGATCTTAAATAAATGAGATACTCTTTATTTATAGATGTTGAAATCGGTCGATTTTCCCTTTCATTCTTGACTTGAAATTTCTTTATTTCCTTATTTAGTTGATAAGAACAATTTCCTATTTTTTCAGGGATTTGTCTTTTGAGAATATTTCTATTTCCATATAAGATTAGGAAATATTCTACGAAGTCCGGATGTTAATGCCGACATTACGATATAAACCATCGTAAATCGAGATCAATTGGGCTAATCTCGGTTCATACCGAGCTAAACCAAAGGTGCAGGGTACACCTCCAACAGTAAGCCCTCCCCCCCCCTCAGTCCGGCAAAAGAGTATATGTAGGAGCTCGGCGGATTTCATGAGTATTTTTAGTCCAGTGAACTGAGATTGGATTTTTGCGAGGCTGTTTGCTCGGCTTATAGATGTGATGAGTTCAACTCAATCTACTGTGAATTGCAATAATTTGGCTTAATTTATGCGAGTTAAATGAACTCGGCCTGAATCCCAAGTGAGCTTTCTTGTGTTGGAAGAGCGAAGTTCGTGCTCTTGGAAACACACAATATGGACTCAAGGTTTCCTAAGTCGAACTGAAGTGTGCGAGATGAGCTCGGCTTATTGTTCTTGGTGACTTAGGAATATATAAGTGTGGGACTGGCCCCGGCTTTTAAGATGTGGATTTTACCACAGCATCATGGGGATGTTTGCGAGAGGGATCTCGACTTTTTAAAGTTTACATTCATGGGGAAACTATCGAACAATTGACCAAGAAGTCGATGTAACACCGATGAGTTTAGTCGGGACTGCAAACATGTGAATTCGGCTTAGAGGGATTGATAGTAGGTTTTTAGCCTACTAAGGTCAATTAACCTCTTGTGTTCCAAATGGAGATTATCTAGGCACTAAGACTATATGGAACTATCTTAATCCAAGTCTAATTAAACAGGTTTTGGTAACAAAGTGGTCTAAAACATAAAACAAACAAGAAGCAAGTAATAATTGAGAACTAAACAAGCAAGACAAACAAGAAAATACTCAAATTCAAAATAAAGATAAAGCTAAACCTCTAGATGCGATCATTGATCAGAGTGCTTTCAATGCTTAATTCATTATGCTAAGAAAACAATGCAACACTTGCAAATCTTTAGTCTAGAATTCTAGAGCAGATTAATTCATTTCAAGACAGAAATCTCTTTGCAAAATTACTTAATCAAGACTAATTCCCATTAGTGAGTAAGCAATCAACAAGCATAAGGTTCCAAGTCTAAAATGACCAGACAGCCTCTCTGTGCATCAAAATAAGATCTAAGATAGACTGAATATTACACAGAAAGATATAGCAAGCAATCACATGATCTCAATTCCAATTAACTTAGAACTCTAAACTAGACTAATCCTCTCATGAAGGTATTAATCTCTATACTAATCCACTTTCAAACCAAATTCCCATTTGTGAAATATGAATTAATAAGCATTAAGAGACAGTTCTAATATGTCATTCATGCATTTAAAAATCATTCCCATGATGAAAAAGGCATAAACCCTTAAGTTAGCTCATTCAGGCATTTCATCAAACACCTTGTGGGTGGAGAAATGCCTAAGTTCTAGATCAAGCTTAAAGAGATCTAGCATTAAGAACAGCTAACTAAGGAAAGGAAATGAGAATCTAGAGCCTAAACATCATAAATCAAACATCTAAGCACCCTAATCTACACACCTAGAAGCTTAAAAGAAGACTACTCACTAATCATGATTAACACACCTAATCTTTTGCAAGAGGTGATGTTAATCATGATTAGAAGCAAAGATAAGAAGATTAGATGATAAGAAACAGCTTTAAGATGATTAAATCCCTCAGATATCTCTTGATCAAACTCGTTTTTACACTGAAAAGGAAAGAAACCTAAGAGAGAATGAAAGATAAAAAATAAGATCTTTAGGGTTTTTCCCAAAAAGGTATTTATACTAAGTGTTATGGACCGGGTCAGCCCAGGACAAACTGGGTGACCCGGCTCAGATGGGTCTGGTGGCTGGTGTGCGAGATGGTCACGTCCATGGCTGACCCACACACCCATCTCGCACCAAAAGGCGCTCAAGACTCCTAGATGGTCAACTCCTTTCTCAGCCGCACATCCATTTAGCTCTTCAACTTGCATGTTCTTGTGCGACTCAGTTCAGCTCCTTCCCCACTCTCAAGCCTTGGTCGCACACTCCAGAATGTATATGTGCGAGATGGTCACTTCCTTGCCCAAGTCGGTGTAATTTGCGAACACATGTGCTACATGGTTCCACTTCATGTCCAACTCGCATGCCTATCTCGCACAGCATTGTGGACAAAGTCAAATTTGATTCTGGAAGTCTCTACCTTGCTCAGAGTCTCCTTACACTCATCTCTAAAGTCGCAACTTGTTTCCAGAGCATGAACATTCATGGGTGGGAGTTAATCCTGTTGCACACTCAAGTCGCATCATTTCTCATTTTCTCGGACCACTACGCGTTTGATGCATCATAACTCCTGGAATACTGGTCCAGATTGCTTGATTCCAACTGCAGTGAAAAGAGCACACAAATATCTCAAACTTTGTGGAGGAAACCTTTAGCTCTTGGGAAGTGGAAGGTTCCCAGGACGGCTCATCTCTGAAGTGAATTGAAACAATCAAAAAGAGGCTCTTGGACCAGTATTTACTCCGGAGGCGGTATCTTTCAGCACATAGCTCCAAACTGTATGATATTAGATGTTCTGGAAAAAGCACGTAAAGACATTGAATCTTGATGAAGGCCCCGGAAATTTAATCTTACTGGAAAGACATCGTCTCACGCAATCTTTGTAACTCATCGGATCGGTCTTGAAACTGTAGCGAGACAGGTGTGTCTTCCGGTGAGCTTAACTCTCAGCTCATGACTCCAAATCCTATGATTTTAACTGTTCTGGAACCACAGCTTAATCTTCTCCAACGTTTAAGAATACTCTGTAAGCTGAATCGGACGTTAAGACTCCCCGTACAGGCAATCTTTCATATGTATCGGATTGCTCCGGAATGGATCCGAAACAGGTCTGTCTTCCGGTGGCCATATCTTTCAGCTCAGTGC